AGACCCCACAGCTAATTCTCCCCTGGCCTCCTCGCTGGCCCAAGTAGGACTAATTCAGCCAGCTAGCCCTGGTGACTATCTAACGCTTATTGGATGGATTTCCCCCAAATTGATTTCTGAACTCTGAATTTTATTGTTATTCATGTTTTTATATTGTATTTTCTGCTGCTTCTATGTTGTATTACAATTAAGTGTTTTAAATTTGTTGTTAGCCGCCCTGAGCCCGGTTTTCTGAACCGGGAAGGGCGGGGAATAAATAAAAAAAATTTATTATTTATTATTGATCGCGAGCAAGTGGAGGGATGCCTGCAAATGGGAACAAATTTTTCCATAGTCTGTTTCCCACCCTGGCAACTACCTGGACTTGTCAGGAAAGCAGTGTCCTTTTCCTTTGCCATTTCCTTTGGGGCAGAGAAGCATCGTTGCTCTGTATGGGAGGCCAGGAAGGAATGTTTCCTCTTTGTCCCAATTGGTTATTGAGCCCGTGTGTTTCTTTCTTTCCCCTTTTCATGGGCGGGATTTGTTTGTTTTGCTTTGATTTATTCCATGTGGCTAGGTCTGCTATAGGGATGCGGGTGGCGCTGTGGGTTAAACCACAGAGCCTAGGACTTGCCAATCAGAAGGTCAGCGGTTCGAATCTCCGCGACGGGGTGAACTCCCATTGCTCGGTCCCAGCTCCTGCCAACCTAGCAGTTCGAAAGCACATCAAAGTGCAAGTAGATAAATAGGTACCTCTCCGGCAGGAAGGTAAACGGCATTTCCATGCGCTGCTCTGGTTCGCCAGAAGCGGCTTAGTCATGCTGACCACATGACCCAGAAGCTGTATGCCGGCTCCCTCGGCCAATAAAACGAGATGAGCGCCGCAACCCCAGAGTTGGTCACAACTGGACCCAACAGTCTGGGGTCCCTTTACCTTTACCTTTACCTTTACCTTTATGTGTGCTATATATTTTGCTCTTTTAAGACTACTTCAGTAGAATAACCAGCCTGGGTGTGGGAAATGGCACCGGAAATCACAAGAATGAGAAGGTGTCTGGGAGCTCTATCTTATCTGAGATTGGCAAGGCGTAGGGCAGGGCACTAACAAGACTAGAGCAGCCCTTGAAGTGAAGATAGACGGTCGGCTTGCATCTCTCTGTCCTTGCTAGGGAAACAGGGCATCACTCATCAGGAATAGCTTAGCACCAAACTAGACATGATGCCAAACATGTCATTAGAAAGCTCCTCCATTAAAAAAAATACTAGGAGATTTTTCCCAGTGCTAATATCAGTGCAGGAATGTGGTGGTGGTGATATTTGTCATGCCTGCAGCTGGGGAGGGAAGGGTGTTTAAGCTTTACAATAGGTTGCTCGATTAGGGGATTTTACCCCTCCCCTTTATAAGAAAAACTTCCAAAACTGTCATAGAAATCCATGTGTGTGTTTTATATCCTCCTCTCCCCATGTACTGCGGTCCCAATGAACCCACCACTAGCACTGTAACATTTTTTAAAGCCATTTCGACATGATTTCCAATTATGTGTCTAGCTTGGCCCTCGGGTCAGGGGTACAACATGGCTGGCTACCCTTGCCAGTCTCCCTGAGTCTATCAGGGTGTGGGGTTAGAATGACCCCTCCTCCTTCACATTGGTCTTAGCAAAATGAGAAAATGCTTAGAAAAGCAGAGGCAACACTTCTTTCACACTCTCTACTGCAGGCAAAGTCCAAAGTCCGGCCCGGGGGTTTAATCCAGCCCCTGTGGCAGTTTATATCCTGGGGTACAATTCTAAAAGGTCGACAACTTCAACCCTAAAAAAAGGTCAACAACTTTCTTTGGGGGGAAATCCAAAAAGAAGCCCAACAGCGTCAACAGATAGGAAATCTTAAGTTGAACTTCAGGAAAAATTTCTGAACTGTTAAGAGCAGGTGAACAAGAGATTAAACTGCTAGAGGACAATAGTGGGAGCTCTTTGGAGATATTTTACGACAAGCTTGCACATTCTGGGCTGCTTCCGATGCAGGATATCTTGTCCTAGGGAGGCGGCTCAGTCTCCTAGTCCTTGATATAATATGTGTTTTGTTTTTTATTACCAATTTGTGGATGATATACCCTGTCTTTCAAATTTACATGACTTGCAAATCCTGAAGTTTGATCTTCAGGTTTCAGACTTTGGGCTTCCACTTTCACAATGGGGCTCCCCCCTCTCTCCTGCCCCTGGCTTGTGGGGCGGGTGGTTTGGAAGAAGCCCCATAACAGCACAGAAGGGATGGGGGTTGGTTCTGTCTGGCAAACTGATAAGCTTGCGCAGAAAGAACGTTAGCAGTAGTGAGATGTTTAATTCCACCCCTAGAATTTATATTTTATATTTTGTTGGGATGTGGGTGGCGCTGTGGGTTAAACCACAGAGCCTAGGGCTTGCCGATCAGAAGGTCGGCGGTTCAAATCCCCACGACGGGGTGAGCTCCCGTTGCTCGGTCCCTGCTCCTGCCAACCTAGCAGTTCGAAAGCACATCAGAGTGCAAGTAGATAAATAGGTACCCCTCCAGTGGAAAGGTAAACGGCGTTTCCGTGTGCTGCTCTGGCTCGCCAGAAGCGGCTTAGTCATGCTGGCCACATGACCCGGAAGCTGTACGCCAGCTCCCTCGGCCAATAAAACGAGATGAGCGCCGCAACCCCAGAGTTGGTCACAACTGGACTTAATGGTCAGGGGTCCCTTTACCTTTACCTACCTTAGAGTCTACCTGAAGCATTTGGTTTTAGAACAGTGACCCAACCAAGGGAAATTCCCCCGACAGCACCGGAAGAAGTGCTCCGGACAGGAAGGAGAAAGCCTCTCTCCCGTACGGAGATGCTGCAAAGAGGAAGAAGAAGAGGCTAGGTCACACACTCTTGCCACGAAAGGCTTGGATAGTGCATTAGCTTTTTACACATCCATAGAGAAGGAGGCACTTGGAAACTAAGAAGGAAACAGGGAAAGCTCTCAGGGCATCATGGACTCTAAATCTAAATAATGAAATAAGTAAAACCAAAATGGAAGCCCTAAAACGGTGGAGAAATGTGTTCCGACCATTGTGAGGAAAGACCAAAAAGGCTGCTTATTGTATCTCTGGCAGCGGCAGAGGGAATTCTCTGCTGCGCGACCCCTGGCAGCACCTTCAGCTGGTTGCAGAGATTTCAGGGACTTCCCACCCAAATTTTGAATTGAAAGGGGCCAGTCAGGGCTGATCTAGGAGGCATTGATTTGCAGACGGACCTGGAGGAGCCTGTCTCCACGCAGATCCGCCTCCAGGTCATATATTATGGCTGTGCTGCAAGTGGGCAGCGCAGTCGGCAACGATTATCCCACCTGCCCACCCACTCTCCAAAGTTATGTTGACAGTGCGACCTTGCTGTAGAATTATTTGGGCGCCATATTCAGGGCCAGGGAGGTATTTTTCTGCAGAAAAATCTGGCCTGTATGGGGCTTCTGCCTACCTCATAGCAATTGTCACAACTTTTGGCAGAAAAGACATTGGGTTGGATCTTTAGTCAGAATTGAAACAAAGGTTCAGGGTATCCCAGTAAAAGGATCCAGGTGGAAAGTTTTGTCCAAAGGCCCAGATGGGGGCTAATGGAACACAAAACTCCAACTTTTATGGTGGGCTCGCCCCCATTTGAACTGCATCAGCAGGGAATACAGTGGTACCTCTGGATACGAACGGGATCCGTTCCAGAGCCCCGTTTGCATCCAGAAGCAAATGTAACTAGCGACGGCACGTCTGCGCATGCATGCGTCACTTTTCGCCGCTTCTGCGCATGCGCATGACGTCATTTTGAGCCTCTGCGCATGCACAAGCAGCGAAACCTGGAAGTAACGCACTCCATTACTTGCCGCAGAGCACGCTCAACCTGAAGCGGATTCAACCTGAGGTATGACTGTACCTTTAAACCAGGATCAACGCTAATAGAGCAATCAGCCAGCAACCAAGCTAGGCCGATTTAGGATACATGCCTGATGCCTATACCAAAGCCTACTTGCATCTGAAATCAATAAAAGTTGTGGCTATTTCAATCCCAGATTGTTGTCCTGTCATTTTTGCTACCTTCACGCCCCTGAAATCTGAGCTCACGGTGCCTGGGCCCAGCCCATAGAGCAACAGGGAACTTTGGTTCAATACACGTCAATGGGGAAATAAAACATGTCCTTTGTGTGCATTTTCAAAATAGCCCGAAATGAAGGACAGGCTCCATTATGTGCTTAAAACAAACAAACCAAGAATTAGAAAAGTCTTGTACATCATGCTTCTGGTTGTTCTGAAACTGCATTCCAATGTAATCATTGGGGTGATCATACATAATGCATTCTCCATCAGATTTTTGTTTGTCTTAATCAAGAAACATTAATACCTTGCATTCTTTCTGCATATTCTCAGAATTCCTTCTTGCTTTTAAAAGATGTTTTCAACAGGGTTCCTGATTGTGAGGATTTTAAGCATGTACAGGCAAACACCCTTCTGCCTTTCACACTAAAACTGTGAAAAGTTAGGTTCTTCCTGCATATCTTTCCTAGTCAAGGCAGGCAAAAGTCTGGATATTTATTTCAAAAGAAGGGTTTCGTTTCATAACTCTGTCATATTTTAAAGTATATGTATTTTTATTTCAGGTATAACTAATTATTAGATGACTGAGGCAGAAGGAGTAGAACTTTTGCAGAGCAATGAAGGTGGAGAGGATGAAATTCATTCCTACAGGCATATAGTATAACTGCTGGTCCTTCCTTGCTAGCCTGTAAGTAGTAAAAGGGGTCATAGCTGTACATGACAGGACACAGTTGCCAAATGCCTAAAGATTGGCAGCCCTTGAAAGAAGAGATTAGCAGCCCGACTAGAAAGATGGCAAGGAAAACAATCACCTAAGGGTGGCTGTATTGGCTTAGTTCGAGACTTAAGTCCATTTCCATGAAAATTTTTCAGTTCAAATTCTGAAGAAACCTTATGAGGGTGGGAAAAGTTGCAACCCAGTGTAAGGTGGTCCAACTATTGCCTCTGAGTCTGCTTTAAGCTTTTAAGCATCTGGCTGTTAACCAGAAGGTTGGTGGTTCGAGCCCACCCAGGGGAGCTGTGGATTCTTGCATTGCAGGAAGTTGGAGTTCCTTCCAATTCTGTAATTCTATGAAACAAGCCAAAGGGTTTTCCAAAACCCTGAACACATTTAATTTATCATCCAATTTGTTCATGCATTTTGTATTATGAAAGCTTATAAGTTACTCTCACCCAAGACACTTTCCAAGCCCATGTGAATTCCCATACTGTATCTTTCATCTCAGCCATCGTAATTCATGGCATATAGATCTGTGCAGTCTAAGCACCTCGTGACCAGTCTCTGAACATCTCTGCAATCTGTTTCCCTGTGTTCAGTGAGTAAGTCCTCGCAAGAGCATAAATGAGAGGGGTGGGGATTTAGTTCCTATGTTAAGGTGGAGAACAATTTTCACTGCTGGGAACTGCCCAGGTCTAACACTGTAACCAAAATCCCAAACGGAGCGAAGTCTGTGTAGCATTTAAATAATTTAGGTAACAGAATCTTCACATAAGATCTTCAAGGAACCAATGGATATGAGATCAGAACTTTTCCAGGTTTCTCTCCCTCATTTTTTAGAAAATGCAGCAAAATGTCAGTAGTATTATTATTATTAATTTATTATTTGTACCCCGCCCATCTGGCTGGGTTTCCCCAGCCACTCTGGGTGGCTTCCACAGAGACCAAAAATACACTAAAATGTCACACATTAAAAACTTCCCTGAACAAGGCTGCCTTAAGATGTCTTCTGAATGTCAGGTAGTTGTTTATCGCTTTGACATCTGCTGGAAGGGCGTTCCACAGGGCGGGCGCCACTACCGAGAAGGCCCTCTGCCTGGTTCCCTGTAGCTTTGCTTCTCGCAATGAGGGAACCGCCAGAAGGCCCTCGGCGCTGGACCTCAGTGTCCGGGCAGAACGATGGTGGTGGAGACGCTCCTTCAGGTATACTGGACTGAGGTCGTTTAGGGCTTTAAAGGTCAGCACCAACACTTTGATTTGTGCTCGGAAACGTACTGGGAGCCAATGTAGATCTTTCAAGACCGGTGTTATGTGGTCTCGGCGGCCGCTCCCAGTCAACAGTCTAGCTGCCGCATTCTGGGTTAGTTGTAGTTTCCGGGTCACCTTCAAAGGTAGCCCCACATAGAGCGCATTGCAGTAGTCCAAGTGAGAGATAACTAGAGCATGCACCACGCTGGTGAGACAGTCCGTGGGCAGGGAGGGTCTCAGCCTGCGTACCAGGTGGAGCTGGTAAACAGCCGCCCTGGATATATAGTAGTATATTGGCTCTGCTGGAAAACTAGGTGCATTTGGCCCTTCCTCTCTCTCAGCTGCCCCTAACAATACCCATTCCCTTCAGGCTGCAGCAGAGGAAGGGAGTTGGACAACTCCGCTGAAAGCCTTTTGACTCCTCCCTGAAGTGTTTCCATCTCAGCCAGTCCTTATAAGAACTTTGTGACTTTAAGAACACATCCCCAAAGTTGACTTCTCTTGTTCCATCGCCATCCCTTTTCCCTTTTCCATTGTGCCTGCATAAAACCCAACTGACGTCTGGTCTACTTCAGCAGGTTTTCCTGGGGAAGCAGCAGAATGCTTTTGAAGCCAAGATGCTAGGAAATAGACAAAGCGGTAGCGGAATTTTCTTCTCTGGCAACAGTAGTGTAGTTTATGGAAGTGATTTCTGGCAAGGTTAGCCAGACTTGATTGATTTGGGACCAAGGCAAAATAGTTTCAAATAGCTTAGGCTTCGTGGAGAATCTACCACTAATACCTGGCAAAGTCCCTTGCCCAGCATCAAAAGCATCAAAGGTGATCAGGTCTACTTGAGTCTACTTGGGAGAGAGATGTTACAATTTCTTCTTTCTAACGTATTTTGCAACAGATTATCACTGTGCCACAAAAAATTGTCACAGATTATGGGCTATTATAGCAGGTTTTCTATGACTTGAGGGACGCGGGTGGCGCTGTAGGTTAAACCACAGAGCCTAGGACTTGCCGATCAGAAGGTTGGTGGTTCGAATCCCCACGACGGGTTGAGCTCCCGTTGCTTGGTCCCTACTCCTGCCAACCTAGCAGTTCAAAAGCACGTCAAAGTGCAAGTAGATAAATAGGTACTACTCCAGCAGGAAGGTAAACGGCGTTTCCGTGCGCTGCTCTGGTTCGCCAGAAGCGGCTTAGTCATGCTGGGAAGTTTTTAATATTTAATGCTGTATTGTTTTTAACACTTGATTGGGAGCCGCCCAGAGTGGCTGGGGAAACTCAGCCAGATGGGCGGGGTATAAATAACAAATTATTATTATTATTATGATTATGATTATGATGATGATCCGGAAGCTGTACGCCGGCTCCCTCAGCCAATAAAGTGAGATAAGAGCCGCAACCCCAGTGTCGGTCACGACTGGACCTAATGGTCAGGGGTCCCTTTACCTTTACTATCTATGACTTGGGGGTCATCCATACTTTTGCCCCATGCTTTCTAGACACAGGTCCACACTTTAAAGCGCAGTTCTGATTTCCCATGGGTTAGAATTTGCTCCACTTCAGTGGTAAAGAGCAGGTTTTTGTGGGGAAAGCTCCAGCCCCCCACCCAAGCACTCGGAGACAGTGCTTTAAATGTGGCACAAGGAAGTCTGGAGGAGCCCTTACCTTTGCAGAATGTAGGACCAGCTAGAGCACTTATTATATGAAGTGGCGTGCATTTCTTTCCATTGTGCTAGGACTCAATTATTTTAAGCTACTTTCTTTCAGACAAACCATACATGTTGGCTGCTCCTCATCAAGCTCACTATCGCTTTCATCATTTTGCCATGTTCAGGTTTTTTCCTTTTCTTTTCCATAAAATTGCTTTGGAGAGAAAATGAACAGCTCTCTGAAGAAAACCAAGACAAAATAACACCATCCCCTATGATAGTGCTCGTTGTAGATCACTGTTGTCAAAGAAACTGTCTTTCAAGTTAAATCAACACTTCCTACTGCTGAGTTCAACAGTTGTGCATTCTTGCAGACTTTTTATACAATCTTTCCTCAGCAGGAAAATATATATTGGCTTGGCACTGAGATCTCCATTTGCCTTACTAAGAACTCTTTAGAATATATATATATATATATATATAGGCGTGCTCTGGTCCATGGGGTCATGAAGAGTCGGACACGACTAAACAAAACTAATATATAGAGTCACGGCAGAAGAGTGCTTTTGCACTCCTCCATCCTTTTAAAAATGTTTTATTTTTCCATTTTCCCCCACCTCCAGGGCTAGTATAGTTTTATTCCCTGGCTTGAGGGCATGTTGGGTGACTGGAAAGGCGATGGAACATGTTCATGGCTCTGCTCAGGTCAGATCTCTGATGGTTGTGGGGCCAGGACTGCAGAGGTTGCCACAGCAATGGGGAGGGAGAATCTGGCCCCGATTCTCCCTCTCTGCCCTCCCAAAGGGAGAGCCAGTTTTTACTTTGGCTCCCAGGATACCCTCCAAGGGGCCATAGGACTGCAGGGCTAGTCACTTGGTTCACAACAGCACAATGTGGCAATACCTTCTCTGCCATAATTTGAAAGATGGTGAGCACGAGACCTTCACCTCCTTGTCATTTTGTCTCCATTTCATTCAAGCCAAATAATGCCAAAGCTCCATGCAATGGGGTCCTTAACTCCTCGGATTGTGTTTGCTGCATTCTCATGTTGTTGTTGTTTAGTCGTGTCCGACTCTTCATGACCCCCTGGACCAGAGCATGCCAGGCACTTCTGTCTTCCACTGCCTCCCGCAGTTTGGTCAAACTCATGCTGGTAGCTTCGAGAACACTGTCCCACCATCTCGTCCTCTGTCGTCCCCTTCTCCTTTTGCCCTCCATCTTTCCCAACATCAGGGTCTTTTCCAGGGAGTCTTCTTTTCTCATGAGGTGGCCAAAGTACTGGAGCCTCAGCTTCACGATCTGTCCTTCCAGTGAGCACTCAGGGCTGATTTCCTTAAGAATGGATACGTTTGATCTTCTTGCAGTCCATGGGACTCTCAAGAGTCTCCTCCAGCACCATAATTCAAAAGCATCAATTCTTTGGCGATCAGCCTTCTTTATGGTCCAGCTCTCACTTCCATACATCACTACTGGTGCATTCTCATACATCAGTTAAATACTTATGTGTACAGTTTGTGTTGTAATGCGGTTCAATGACACATAATGCACACATTATGCATATGACTTTGGTACACTTGATATTTGAAGAACTGAGCCGTCAAACATATAGATATTTGAAATTCAATATAGCTGGTATTTAACATATGTTCCATTAAATGTGGCCTTCAAAATACGACTTGAATGAAGCTTTCAACTAGCGTCTATTCCCATTACCTGCCTTTGATGAAGTGATATTTGTGACTGAACAAGTGGCTGAGAGTCTTCACCCCTCCAGCATGAGCAGTTGTCTTGTTTCTGGCAGAGATATCCTTTTGAGCGCTGTCTCCATGGGTACGTCTTATAACAATCACTGCTAAAGAGGTACACAAATTCAGTACTTGCCTGTGTCTTTAGTTGTTTTGGCAACCCTATCCTGTCAGATAAAAGCAGCTGCCCTGGGAACTTGTTTGAAAAAGGTAAATATGTCTGCAAAAATAAATAACTTACTGGTGATTCTTCCCATTACTTGCAAGTTCCAGCACTCTGGGCATTTAAACATTTGTAGGGATCAGTTTCATCCCCTCCATCTTCATTGCACTGCAAAAATTCTACTCCTTTTGCCTCAGGCAAGCCTCTTCTATCTTTTCTTTTTTTGATACCTGAAATATATTAAAAAGTGACATGATTCTGTATGCGTGTGTGTGTCCATTATGTTTTCTACATGTGAGAACTAGTCTTAAAAACTAAGATACAAGGATTTGAGGCTATATTAATGGCTTGTATCCTAATGAGCAGAAGTGTCATGCATGGGGAGTTTTCCATTCATTGTGATACCTGGTTATGATACCCCCACCCCCGCTTTATTTTAAAAAGAGCCTCCCTGGAGGGTTGGGAGATGGGGAGGGGAGGAGCAGCAGCTGGAGTAAGAGGAGATT